TATATATATATATATATATATATATATATATTATATCTAAGATTGTAAAGCTTAGTTAATATATACAAGTTGATCGACCCGTGATGGCGCTACGGGCGTCTTTTTTTAGAATCATTATTTATCACCGTCCATATATTAAAAGATTTTCACCGTAAATTTAAAATGGAGTCAGTGCTTTGACGTGTTTATTGGGATTGTTCTATTTCGTTTTTTAAGGTACATATTTTTCAAAAAGTAATCTTTTTCAAAAAATAATCGACGAGAGAAAATAAAACAAAGTCAATAAATGCAGCACTTGTGGAATTGACAAATGAGAGTGTGCAATTAACTAAACCTGGTTCAAGAAATCTTGTAATTACCAAAAGGTAAGGGGAAAGAATGAAATAAAGGAATATATGACATGTGACTTTTTGAGTCATTTGTCAATTGAGAAATAACCAAAAAGTTTAGTTATTCAATCCCCTCAAGAATCAAAAGTTAGGACATTTAAGTAATTTGTCAAGTAGGTAAAGACGAAAAAGATTAGTTCTCTAACTCATCATCAATCCTTGATGGAGATCTTTTATTAATTCCACTACTCTATTCAAGTCCATTGAGAAATGACCAAAAAGATTACTTATTTAATCCCTCAAGAATCAGAAATTAGGACATTTAAGTAATCTGCCAAGTAGGAAAAGACCCAAAAAAAAAAGTTCTCTAACTCCAAAAGAAAGGCTTGGTAGGGATCTTTTGGTAATTCCACTACTCTATTAAAGTCAATTGAGAAATGACCAAAAAGTCTAGTTATTTAATCCCCTAAAGAATCAAAAGTTAGGACATTTAAGTAATATGCCAAGTGGGAAAAGACGAAAAAATTAGTTATCTCACTCCTCATTAATCCGGGGTGGGATCTTTTAGTAATTCCACATGTTTATTCAAATAATACGTAGTATATATGCATATTTTTATCAAAATAATTAATTACACATTTATGAATATTTTAACTAATCAATCAGGTTCGGCCTTTACGGCTAATACCAAGCCCGACTAATTTTGCAAATAGGCCTTAAAATTTTGTCCAAGCCCATTTAATGGACTTCAAATTTTTGTCCAAACCCTCTCAAATATAGGGGGCCTTACGGACTTGGACGGGTAACCTGGTCCTTGAACAGGTCTAGTGCTTATTAATAAGCTTATAATATATAGCTATTAAACACATAGCAGAAAAGACAAAAATTGGGTAGCTATCTCTAAAAAACAGAAAAAAAAATATTGGAGCTTTTAGTAATTTTGAGGGATACACAAATAATACTTAAATATATATATATATATATCTATACTATATATAAGAGTACGAATAAGGGGAAACTTTATGTTTTCTGATTGTATCATTTTTTCAAATATATTTCTAAATTGTCAGTATTAAATAATATTTTAATTATTCCATTATGAAAATAATGGAAATTTAGATTATCCTCATTAATTAAGATTCAATGTGGCCAATAGGAATGTTCCACATCATCTTTAACATCTGAATTTTCGTCCAAAACATTCTCCAAGTCGGTATAGGAGAAGTTCAATTCTATCCAAAAATTTCAAGGACAAAATCGTCCACCGGAACGACAGAATTAAGTCTCGAGGTAAACATAAAAGTTGTAGATCTTGGAATCATCTTTCCAACGATACCTCATTTGCATTTTTCTGAGTTCTGAATCAAAATTTATGAATTTTCTTCCAAAATTATTCTTGTAAAGTCCTTCTCTAAACAGGATATAACAATGTTGCATTAAGGCTAGATCATTACTGCATCATAATTATTTATTGGAGTTGGACTCCTTCTTTGGGCTTCCATATTAACAAATTGGGTCTAATAATATTATATTTAGACTTCAAGACATCTGGCTTGGCAATTTGGGTTTCATGAACTCAAACGGGCCTATTGGGTCGAAATGAGACAAAATCAATTGTTTCTTCAAATTGATCCAAAATGGCTCTAAATCTTCATCTTCCTAAAACATAGCTCCAAATGGGCCTAAAATAGCAAATATGAGAAATGTAGGGGTAAAACGACACATACGACTACCAAAATAAGGCAAAATCACATAGAAAATATAGAGCAAATTAGGTCTTATCAATGTTTCGTTTTCTTATCAATTTAGAAATATATCTATATATCTATGTACATTATATATAAAAGTACGAATAATGGTAAACTTTATGTTTTTTAATTGTACTATTTTTTTGAAATACATTTCTAGATTGCTATTATTAAAAAATATTTTAATTATGCCACTATTAAAATATAATTTTGTGTATTTTTTTTAAATATATTTCTAAATTGCAATTAAATAATTTTTACGACATATAATTTTATTTATAAAATTTCGATTTCTACCATATCATCTAGATTTTCTCATTATTAAAATACTTTATTAAGAAAAATTCAATTTCTACAGTACCATCCTAGATTTCTTCAACAATCTTGCTAAAGAGGGCACCACGGTCTTGCTTCCTTCTAACGCTTCTGATCCTATACCAACATGATTACTCAGGCTATGACCATCTACATGAAAAAGTATCCCCACGAAATGAGAGGGGGCTTAAGATCGAAATTAGACACTTAATTTTACTATATTAAACAAACTCAAAGTACGATGGGCTACTAGCTCTATTTTTGGTTTTGTTTCTTTAATCTTTTTTTAGCAAAATTAATATTGCTGTAAAAGGCTTTTTGAAATGATCATCAAAAAATTTAGATGTGGCTATTTATTCCACTTAAGGTCTTAGCATTTCCTTTTAAACAAAGAGAATCTTGCGTATGGCTTTAAGGAATTTTTTTTTCTTACCTCAACTACATGAATAATTAGTCAGGTCATGCTTGCTTAAATCAATTGCCAATTTACGGATAATAATCTATTCAGAAACGAAAAATTTGACTTAGAATTGATTGGATCACTGCATTAAAAGCCCAATTACTCACAAAATAAATAAATTATGAGATGATTCAGAGTATATCGGAGTGCTTGATGGAAGGAGTAGCGTTTCAAATGCCGAATGAACTAAGAAGGCTATTTGCGCTGTATTAGTGCATTGTGAACTATCAGATGTGAGGAAACTATGGAATGACTACTACGATGCAATGTCTGAGGATTATAAGAGAATACATGGAAACTTAGTCCAGACACAAATTGCTTACACATTACATAGCATTGTCTATTATCTTGGGAACATGTGAAAAAGCATCAAGAACTTTGATTTTCTAGAGATAGATTCTCAAAATTTGCACATTAGGAATTCAACACATAAGGAAATTGCACATGAATTAAGAATTGAAACTCCATGGAAAAATCTAGAAGTTGCAAATAAGTTAAATGAAAATCAAAAGATTACATTTCACGCTATCTTAAATCGAGTTGAATCAAGAAAGAGTAGAGCCGAGACGCAAGTAAGGAGGTCGGCGCCTAATGTTCCTCAAGTGGACATTCCAATGATTAATTAAGGCAATTGAGATTAATTTCGTGTAGGATGTATGTATCATATTTGAATCATATGATAGACAATGATGTCGTTATGGGATGAAAAAAATGTATTTTGCCAAAAGTGCTTCTATTTAATTGGTAATATTGCAAAGTCGTCAAGAGTTTGAATCTTGGAGTACTTTACCAATAAATCACCTAGTTAAGGTGTAAAAACATATAAGATCAACTAATTAAAACTTCCATTCATGTGAAAGGATCCACGAACCGTTCTTCTTGAAGTATAACCAGCCGTCTCATGCTTGCCAATAACAATTGTAATTGTAATGATGACAACGAGGAACAAGTGATTGAGATTGCCAGAAGACTGAAGACTAGAAAAGTTACACCATGAATTCTCGACTTCATGTTGCATGAATATTAAGCTTTCATACCAAATTCTTCAAACAATGAAAACTCCATTTGCGGTGATTTGGGATTGCATGCTCACCTACATCTTTTTCTTTTGATCTGCAATGGACATTCAGCTCATGGTTGTTGTTTAACTGATAGCTAACGTGAATTGTATAACTCTGGTGAAAATTCACCAACTTTAGCAAGACTAATGATTTGGCTAACAGTGTGTTTGGATAAATTTTTTGGAGGGTTAGTAAAGGAAAGGGAAGAATAAAAAAGGAGTGTTTCTTAAAGAAAAGGAAAGGAAGGATCAATTGTTGTTCCGATAGTTTATAAAAAAAATTATGAAGGAATGAACATATATTTTAGTGGACTAATAATTGTCAAGAATTTAAAAAATTTCATAGGGCAATTTGTTGCAAAAATAGTTTATAAGGCATAATGCTACATGTCAAAGTTCAGGGGCAAAAGACTAATAAGTCATTTTGCATTTTGCTATGTTGTTCGTGCATGCTTGTATTGCTTTGAGTGTTTGTAACGTGTGCAATGTATTAGGTTAAAATACTTGAGAGGTCCTTGTATGTACTACATAAAAATGTTAAACTTCGTGCATATACTTAAAAAGCGATTAATTTATCCCATGTAGTCACAAGATTTGAGTCCAATCGATAAGGCTAAATGCTTAATTTGGGGCCAAATGTTTGTGATTCTGCTCAATTAAGGGTCAAACATTTCAATTTGATCAATTACAAGCTAAAAGTTTTTGATTTGGCTCAATTCTAGGCTTTTTTAGATGGTGGGTTGGCAATGTCATACATGCGCCGTTAAACCCTATTTTAGTTCACGTGGATTTTAATTTAGCTGGTAATTTTTTAATTAATTTCTGAAATTAAAAGGTAAATTAAAAAGTAAATCCCTTTTTATTTTTATTTTTTTAGGGAAAAGCAATTGATTTCATTAAGTTGGTAAGGGATTACAATCCAAATGATGAGCAGCCATAACTGCATCTGGTATTTCCTCTATCCAAACTATTTCCTCAGGTAGAGAAACACCAAGGCTAGCTAGGCCATGAGCAACTGCATTAATATTTCTTCTTACATGTAAAAAAGAGCAAGAAACAAAAAGTGAACTAAGAAGTTTTAATTCCTCAATATAAGGACCAATAGGTGACAAATCAGGTACCAAAGCATTAACTTTGCGGATGATCGATAAAGCATCTCCTTCTATTTCAACTTGTGGAAAGCACATATCTTTTGCCCACCATAGAGCTTTAATAGCAGCTAAACATTCTGCTGTAAAAGCATCAGCAACCATCTCGATTTGTCCAGCAATAGCCCCCAGAATTTTGCCATCTTCATCTCGAGCTACAGCCCAAAACTACCTCTATTCGTGGCCGCTATGAAGGAACCATCAAAATTTATCTTTACAAAACCACTTCTCGGTTTCCTCCAATGTGTGTCGTCAGTCAGATTTGGCAAAACTATTGTGGCTTGTTGGCATCTCTGATATTCCAGTAAATAAGAGCAGATAAAATCCACTTGTGCTGTGGACTTCGCTTCCTATTCTATTGAAATTCAACATTCCGATCATTCCAAATTGCCCATACAGTTGTCATATACAACTCCCGCCATCTCAAATCACCAAAGAAACCCGAACCAGGCGGCACAACATTCTTTCCCCTGCTATATTGATCATTCACAATTTCCCAAACAGCAGCTGCATGCTCGCAATCTTTAATGGCGTGAGCAACTGTTTCTAGCCCATTCTTGCATCTAAAACATACTTAGTCCACATCCATTCCCCGTCAAGCAAGATTTGTCGAGACAGGAAGTATTTCATGAAAAACTCTCCATCCTATGATCTTAACTTTTGAAGGAACATTGGCTTCCCACATTTGCTTTAAAACTTGCTTGTCATCTTCAACTTCCTCCACACTCCTAAATTCATCATCCTCCTGCATATTACAAAGTACCCGATACCCACTCCGAACCGAGTAAAACCCCTTATTATCAAAATCCCAAATCAAACGATCAGGCAAGGAGGCTCTACTCAACACAGTCTGCCGTATAGCTAGAGCCTCATCCTCCGAAAAGATACTTTCAATAAGCTCAATATTCCAGCCACCCCCTTCTCGATCAATAAGGTCTATGACTCGGGAATCCTCATCCATATTGCCCTATCCAGATTGCGAAATGAAACCATTAATCCGAGGCACCCATTTATCTTTGAAAATGCAAATGTAAGCCCCATTGCCCACTCTCCAACGTGTTCCATGCTCAAGAAGAAATTGAGAACTCCAAATACTCCGCCAAGTGAAAGATGGATTCCACCCCAGCCTTGCATGTAGAAAATTTGATCTCGAGAAATATCTAGCTTTTAACACCCTATAAGCTAAACTAGAGCATTCAGTGAGGAGCCGCCACCCTTGTTTAGCCAATAGAGCTACATTAAAGTTTTCCATGTCCCGAAACCCCATTCCTCCCAAATCTTTACTTTTAAACAAATCAGGCCAACTTCTCCAATAAATAGGCTTTTTATCATGTTTCTGCTTCCACCAAAATCTCGATATGACATTATTAATTTCTTTGCACAAAGCTTTTGGCAGTGTAAATACATTCATAGTGTATGTGGGAATGGCCTGCAAAACTGCTTTTATCATAACTTCTCTACCCCCTTGAGACAGCATTTGAGTGTTCCAACTTTGGAGTTTCTTCCATATGCGATCTTTAAGCTCCCCAAAAGCATGTCGTCGGTTTCGGCCTACCATAGCTGGTAGACCCAAATATTTTGCAATGCAATCCTGTTCTCCCACATCAAGCAACCTCATGAGCTCTGCTCTGCGATCCCCACTAACACTACTACCAAAGATGATAGCAGACTTATCAAAATTAATTTTATTCGTACCTCGTGAGTATGTCCTTCCCCCTTTTGCTATCCACCAAATTGGCCTTGCCAAATAACAGGCTATCGTCAGCAAAAAACAGATGATTCACCCGCGGACCATTTCGACTAGCAGCTACACCTCGTAGTAAACCTTTAGCTTGACTATCATTAAGCATAGTAGAAAGAGCTTCCGTATAAAACAAGAACAGGTATGGTGAAAGTGGGTCACATTGCCTCAATCCACAAGACATAACCAAATCCACCCATTTACCATCAAATCCCATTCGTCTCATAACCGCATCCAAAAAATCCCATTCCACCCGATCATACGCTTTGCTCATATCCAGCTTCAGAGCAAAGTAGCCATTTTTCCCTTTCTGATTGTGTCGGAGCGTATGAAGAAGCTCATAAGCAACCAGAATGTTATTAGTGATTAGTCTACCTGGAACAAAAGCGCTCTGAGTCTTACTGATACAGCTGGGAAGATGTGCTTTCAGCCTCTTTACCAAGACTTTAGAAACAATTTTGTAAATCACATTACACAGGCTTTGGGGTCTAAACTGGGTCATATTTTTGGGTTTTTTTCTTTTTGGAATCAAGGCAATATGAGTATGATTAACATTAGCCATTGCAGAATTGCCATTAAGTAAATTAAGACAAAAACTAACAACATCACTACCAATAATAGGAAAAAAATTCTAGAAGAAAAAAGCAGGCATACCATCAGGACCTGGTGCCTTTATGGGGTGCATTTGTTTTAGGGCATCATGAATCTCCTCCGCTGTGAACTCTGAAAGAAGAGATGCATTCATCTCCACTATCACTCGAGGCTAAATTTTCTCAAGAACGTCAGTGAAGTGCTTAGGTTCAGTCGAAGTAAACAGTTTTTGAAAATAGGAGATTGTAATCTGTTGAATTTCATCTGGGTCATCTCTCCCTCTACCATTCTCATCCTCCAATCCAAGAATAGTATTCTTCTTTTTTCGCTTATCAGCTTGGCCATGGAAATATTTAGTGTTTCTATCTCCATCTCGCAGCCAATTGACCCTACCTCTTTGCATCCAATATGCATCCTCCTCCTCAAGAAGTTTGTTTAATTCTTCCCTAACCTGTTTTTGCCGCTCCACATTCCCATTCATTCCCACTAAAGGTGCTAGCTCCTTATTTAAAGCATCAATTTTATCTCTAACAACACTCATTTTTTGTGCAAACTGAGACCGTAAATCCTCACTTACATCATGTAATTTTGTTGGTAAATTTAACCCCATACCTCGACTCCAAGTACTTCTCAAATGATCCTCAAAGTGAGGCTCCTTGTACCATGTCGTTTCAAAGTACCGACGCTGTGGCTTTTTCCTTTTCTTTGTCTTTGGCAGCACCTTCCTTTCAGTTTGGAATAAAATCGGATCATGATCCAAAATGCTTGAGACCAGGTGAGTTAGACTAGCATTCGGAAACCGATTTCTCCATGACTCCGTAACCACACATCGATCCAACCAATCGGAAATACTACCTCTTCTCCAAGTAAAAATATTTCCATTATAACCCAAATCATGAAGGGAACTATCTTCTAAGGCCTCTCAAAAATTTCTCATTTGTGACATAGGCCTATTTTGTCCACCACCTTTCTCCCAACCCCAAAGAATTTCATTAAAATCACCAATACAAGCCCAAGTTTTCACCCTATGATCAGCAAGTTGTCTCAACAAATTCCATGAAATCATTCTTCGACCTGTATCTGGCTCTCCATAAAATCCTGTTAACCTTCATTTCTCCTTCCCATTTTTCTCATCTACCAGCATATCAATGTGATTCTTGAAGAAACTTAGCAATTCTAGAGCAATACTGTCATCCCAAAACATTGCAAGACCCCCACTTCTTCCTTCCGAATCAACATCAAAACAATAATGAAAACCACAACTACTCCTAATGCGATCTAACTTTCTACTGGGTAACAAAGTTTCTGAAATAAAAACCACATTAGGACCTTCTTTTTGAATAACCTCCTTTAGCCTTTGTTTGGTTGGAGTCTTTTGGAAGGGTGGGGTGGGGTTTGGAGGGGTGCACCATTGTTTGGTTAGAGGGGTTGCAAGGGGTGAGGGGTAGGAAGGGGTGGTCATCACCCCTCCCAACCCCTTATGTCCCACCCCTCCAAATTGGGTATTTTGGAGGGGTGGGGTTTGACTAAAAATGTTACTACCCAAATTATCATTAGTATATTATAAAAATCCAAAACTGCCCTTAATAAATAATATCTAATAAATTAATAAAATAAATACAACATCATAATATATTTTTTAATAAATATTTTTAAAGATAAAATTAAAAATAATTATACTTTGATAAAGTACATATAATAATTATTTTTGTTAATAATTTATATTTTTATTTATTTCACATTTATTTTCTTTCTCATGTATTGTTTACCAAAAAAATATAGTTTGTAAAATACATTAATTATTTTTTTTATAAATGTAATGATGAACAATGCTCGTATAATTATTATACTCTTAGATAAAATATATAATAATTATTTTGTTTTGTATAAAACATGTAATACAAGAAGTTTCTACACATAAGGATAAATTTGTAAAATACACATAAAACTCCTACCAACTCCTTCCTTCAACCAAACACAAAACATGAGCACACCCCTTTTTACCCCTTCTTTTAACCAAACATAATTTTTCTAAACCCCTCCCAATTCCTCCCCCTCCCTACCCCACCCCACCCCTCCCCCATTTGAACCAAACAGGGGCTTAGAGCTCGTACTGCACACGGATTCCTAAGCCCGTGGCAGTTCCAAGCAATTATACTCATGGCTGCAGGCGGGGCTGGCTACCAACCTCCACCATTAAAACATCAAAACTCAAAGCCGAATTACACTTCTTCAGCTTCTTCTCACCTTCATCCAATCCATCCTCATTGTTATCAGCCCCTCCTTGCCCAATTCTTTTGCCCAACGACATCCTATTCTCTGTTGTGCTTTCACTCCCGGCACTATGGCGTTTTAGCAACAGCTTCTTTCTTCATGAAACATTTTGGCTTGAGCCAGAATGTCTAGACACTGATGAAACTTCAACATCGTTAATAGATTTTGTGGCTTGAAAATTGAAAACACTCAAACTTGGGGTTTCACGATCCAAATCCACATATTGGGCTTGTGTTCCAGCAGTTACATGCACCTTAGTCAATGGACTTGTTTCTCTTCTATTATTTGTATGATGGCCCAAACCTTGGCCCAAATCCACATGACCCACAATATCCTTCCTCCTCGCAGCCACGGCATTGACCTTATTTACTTCTCCACCTTCTCCACATAAACGAGGGATTTCACTTCTAACCAAATCCCTTGAAACCCGCTGCCCTTGATTTCCAACTTGATCACTCACCATAAGTTTTGCCCCAAACCTCTCCCGTTCCTTGTCCAACAAACCCGCAAGATTATCTCCAACAAACTCCTCACTTAACACTTTCCTCTGATCATGAAATACCGAAATTTTAGCACCCCTATTGACCATCTCCTTCCTTGGCAACGCCGTTACAGCCTTCCGACCGGCAGCCATGGCAGCACTTCGTTCAATAAACAAAACCCTATTCGTATTCTTGCCAGCACCCCTTGATTCCATCAGACCTCCTATGTTCCTTCCAAATTGCCTGAAAGCTGCAGTGCCTACAAGTTCTCGTTTCCTCTTGAGGGCGAAGCACATAACCAGGGACCATACTGATACATTCCGCTCTCTCGAACATCATTAGCAGAAGGATCATCACAGTCAGGCTCGCCATGCCCCAACAAACTACAAATTGGGCAGAATAATGGAGGTCGTTCATAGCTGAGGCGACCTTGAGCTAAGCCATCACCATCCCTTACCGCAATCATACACCTCAAAGGTTTAGTGACATCAATCGAAACCCTCACCCTATGGAAAACTGATTCTCCTTCAGCCTCCAATGCTTCATCTACTCAATCAAATCCCCAATTCTTCCTCCAATTGTCTTAGCCATTGCAATCGAACGCAAACAAAGTGGCAAATCATAAACTCTAACCCAAAATAAACCTTTTGTGAACACATACTGATCCGGTCGAAGATCTCCACGATAATCAGCAAAACACAATAGAAAATTATCAAATGTCCATGGGCTACCATCAACAACACGATCCCGATCAATCTCCGAGCAAAACTTGAAGAGAAAAATATCGTTTTCCATCTCAAAAATTGAAACCTCTTTCACCAACTGCCAAATTGTCTTCATAGTTCGCATAAACCCCTGCTTATTGAAAGGTGTTTCGGTTAGGAGTCGACCCACTAGCCATGGTTTCTCTCCATCGGTCTCATCCGGTTTGGGAACATCCTCTATAATCTCTTCTTGTTCATCTTCTGTTAACTTTAGATGTTGCCACATCCCTAATACCTCATCAACCATAAAACTCAATACTAAAACTAAGCGCTTAACTGACTGAACTCAGAAGAACTCAAGTCGAAGCAGAAAACTCTTACACCCCTCCTTCAAAACAAAACATCCGAATGGAGACTCTATCAAACTCAGTAAATCCCTTTTTATTGTTTTTCCTATTTACCCATCATCGTAAAATAAGGGGTTGAGTTTCCCTAAAATTTCTCTATGACCACAACATTTCTCTTTGAAAAAAATGAAAATCCCAAAAACTTGAGCAGCCAGTTTAGGGTTCAAATCGATTTTGGGTTTCGATTTGAGAGGATTTTGTTCGCTTTTTTATTTTTTTTGGATTTCAAATTGGGATTATCAAATATTATCATCAAATGCAGAATATTACCAATCCTAAATTCCGATAATCAACGGTGAACAGACAGTCAAAAATGCTAAAACATCCTAAATTCAGGCAAGCATCAAAATTCAGGCAGATGCAGTCTTCTTTTGCTGGAAAATGACAGCATACACGAGAACTATGACAGCAATGCTGAAGGCTGTGAAAACACCAATAGACATGATCAGCTCCTAGTGTTTCATCCTGTCCAAAGTTGTATGTGTGCTTAGCATGAAGGTAGTATGGTTCGTCTTGGCCATGCGCATGGCCTCTGCCCATACTCTTAACTCCAGTTGAATGAAATCCTATGTTGGCTGACTTGGAGTGAAGTGATTGAGAGGATGAAGTCAACAACTTTGAAGCCGATCTAAGGCCACTGTTGAACGCCTTAGGATGAAGTTGTTCGATTTCAATGGGAAATTTTATTTTGTTCGATTTGGGAAAAATTTGAGACACCTTTAGCACCTCTACTGGTCTGTCCTGGTTCAGAGTAGAGGGAAGGGATTCAGTAAACTCTCCGAAAGTACTACTCTTGGCTTGGGCGAACTAGCCTCAATGAAATCTTTGTCTTCTGATTCGAGTGTTTGGGATCCGGGCCTAGTCACTGTGACCCCCTTTGTGAGGGTCAGAAGGGAGCGGGAAATCTCTTCCATGAACTTACTTGTGAATTTGGAAGGAAGGCTGACGAGCTAGTAGCAGTTGAGTAAGAATCTAACCCCGCGCGAGAGGGTGTCAAATAGTATTTGCTCTCTCGTAAACATTCCATTCCAAAAATAGAAAGTTCGAAACAAATGGGAATTTTTTGGAGACTCCTATTCAACTACTTCAACCATTTCCGAGCACCTTATGTTAGGGGGCGTTCGAGGATTCGATTCTTTGAGTTGATAAGCCGGATCGAGTCTTCGCGACGCTGGTTTTACTAAAGTGTCCCCTCTTCCATAATCTCATCATCTTGTGTTTTTTTTTTATATATATCCCTTCCCAGTGTCGAATCACAAGAAGTTGGAGCAGATCTTTGATCTTTTTTTAATATTTCCTTCCTTAAGACTGGGACGCATACATCGAGAGTCCAGTGTGCAATTCATTTTGATAAGATAAATAGGACCCAATTAGTCATATCATATAGGTTACACTAAATCGGAGCTAGAATAAAAGGTAGGTTGAATCAACCACCAGTTAATCAACTATCCCGAGCAGTTAGTATTTCAAGCCATCTTGCAAATCCAGTGTTATTACAGAGTAAGCAACCAAAAAAGGGGAGGGAAGAAAGGAAACTCCAACCGCAACCATAAACTCCGGATTCTCATCATCTGCTTCTCACCTAACAAAAATAATGGATGCTGCTGCTTTCTAAACCAAATTGCTTAAACCATTAGGGTATTAAGAACGATCAATAGGGTTAAAATGGGCATTGCATCTGTCTGCTGCTTCCACTATATGGCCCTCGGCCATACTAGGCCCATGGCATCAGCGGTGAGTGCTGAGGTGATCCCCGAAGGCGGATTGTTGAAAACATGTAGTCCCACAATCAGTCAATCCCTCAATTATGGTTCTACGGATGCACTTTAAGAAAGCAGCCTATAGTTAAGTGTGAAAAGGTGGGTCGGATCAAGCTTGAGGCCACGCAGAGCTAGCAAGAATACAACATTTTGTTGGAAAGGAAGAATACAACATTTTGTTGGAATCGTTCTAGCACTTGTAAAACAGAAGCTTAAAAATTAATCCTCAAACTTTGCTAGTAGTCGTAGATGATTATTATTCCTACTATGAACATAGCCGCCACTTCTAGGTCATAGAACCCTTGTTCTTTTGAAACATCTACCTTTCTCATATAAATATATATATGTATATAGTATTTAATATATAGAAAATATAGATAAGGAGTAAATTATTTTTATTTACTGTACATGCCACGTTTAAATATCACTCCCGTTTAACTCTCAATATGAAAATGCCCAGAATTGAGCCCATTAATTGAGGCATAAGCGCAAAGGTTGGGCTCCAAATTGAGCGCAATCTTGTGTGTGAATACATGACTAAAATTGTCCCAATTATAGATAGGGTGATAGGGTGAGGATGAGAAGTATCAACACCATTAATAGAAAGAAAGTTAAAATGTCCATGTCCACAATGAGATTATTGATGCCCTTAATTAAGAGCAATTCTAATACCATCAATTCCCCAAAGTTGACACACCAGTCTCCCCAACTTTCATCTCTAATAATAGCTCCAGTCCCAGGATTTCATTACCTGAGCATGAGTATCTTTAGAAGAAGCAAAGACATACTGGTTGCGAGCTAACCAAATATTCCAGATAGCAAAAGAATTAATAATGCATCTTCAATATGTAAAACAATGGCATTTGACACAAGAATTATTATATTCCTATATATAGAAATCATCTATAAATTTAGTAAAATAGGATCCTGTTTGAATATTTGCGATGCCATGTTTGTGCCATTAATTACACATGTTGTAATCAGAAGTGAATATGAGGGACAAATAAAAAATAACAGCAAATCTCACCATGGTAGCTCTACCCATGGTTGGACGAGGTCACTGAACTGACGAACCTGAGTATTATCACTAGTGATTATGTACAGTAGAGAAGAAAACAAACCAATTCCGTTTTGCAGAGAAGATGAGGAGAGGGAGGAAAAGCAGGAAACGGATGGCATGGGTGGGGTAGGTAAGACAAACACCTCTTTTTGCTTCAAACAAACAAGCAAAATAAGCAAAATCGGGTTTATCTTGCCCCTCCACCCACGCCGTGAGCTTCCCAAAATTCCAACTCCTTCTCCAATCTCTCATCCACCAACTCCAACTCCAACTCCAACCCCAACTCTAAGCGGCACCGCCTACCACTCTATCATTAACTCACTATATCTATATATATATATATATATATATAGCGTGACAAGTCAACAATTAGGGCTACTGTGCCCGTGCCAAACCCTAGTTCCCATTTATGTTTTATCTCAACGAAACAATAATTGGGCTTCCTTCGTGTACTATATATTAATTTAAACCCAAAATGCCAAATCCAATTTGGGCCTAACCAGGAAAGATTATGCTGAGTTTTTGACTTTTGATAGAGTCAAGCCCAAGTAATAATCACATAGAATTTTACTATTATCGTGGAAGATGACTTCCTTTTCTTTTCTTTTTTTTTCCTTTTTTTGGTGAATGAAGAAGTTTGTAACTCAATTTTTATTTTATGTACCAAAAAAGAAAAAACCCAATTTTTATTTGAACTCAAACTCCCAGCTTGATTTCCCTAATTTTGTATCCACCGCCTCTCGTTAAAGTCATCCCTAATCTATCTTTAGTGAACTTGACCGGGTCGAGCTGGAGCCGGTGGTACATAAGGTTGTGTAGGGTCTGGCTTTAGGCTCCTCCGAGCTAAGCTGACACGAACCAGATCTTCTTCAATTCAGAAACAAGATAGTATAATATCAGTAATTAACTTAAAATTAGGTCAATTATTATTATTATAAGCATTAATCCAAAACAAAAACAAGAGATATTAATTGCACCTTGGATAGCCGAAAACTGGGAAATTCTTGCTTCTACCAACAAAGCCTCTGAGCTCATCCACACCATTAATAAATATGCCACTAGCAAGGTGCTGAAAGCGCCATTATTAGCATGAAACCTCCTCATTTTATCCATAACAAATTAACAATCCAGATTTCTAAAAAAAAATTTGTGTTCAATTTAATTTTACTGCCACAAACAAGAATGGAGAAAACTTGCATATATAGAGTCACGCAATTACTATATATATATAATATATATATACAACATTTTTTTTTTCTGACGGTCATGTCAATCTTGGTTGACATGTTGATATATATTATGGACTTAATTGGTCAAGAGACTTTTATTACAAGTGAAATTAACAAAATTTAGAAACGTTCAAAGTCAATAGTACGTATGTTCTTGATCATAAATTAGTAGTTAAGGGAAAGCATATATTATTGAAGAAACCTCTTTGCATAAATCCTAATAGGTGGGATCAAAATGTTACATGCATGCATGCATGACTTTGGGGTTTCATAACTAACAAAAGAGAAACCAAAATGTGGGCTGATTCAAAACCGGATCTTCCCATATCCTTAAGATTTATGGGTTTATCTTTGTTATTACAAGTTCTTCAGCGGATATGTACATATCTTGACCTATTGACTGAGAATTTGAAGAAGTTATTAAACTTGTGGGTAAATTTGAATTTCGTCCCTTCCACTCATTGTAAGTGAAAGAATGTATATATCTCTTTGCTAATTATTAAAAAATTTCACAAGGAGAATTGGTCCAAAATGTATATTTTCAACCTTTGAATTGTTTGGCCAAAAAAAAACCTTTGAATTGTTAAAGTCTACTTAT